CTATCCTGCTTATCTCTCTTTGGAAATGATGATGCTTAACCAAATCTTCCAGGATCTGGCGGATTTGAGGCTGCTGGCCCCAGCTGGCAAATTTAAGACCAGCTTTTTTCCCCCTTTGTGATTGTACCGCTTTTCTGCCTTACTGGGGTCCGCATCCTTGGCCCTGTGAGCGACTTCTCTGTTTTTCCTTTCCTCTCCCACTTAGGCGTTCAAATTCTGGGAATTTTGGGTTGCAAATGAAACGAAACCCTTGGGCGCAGGTCTCTTGTCTGCTGAGCCAGAGGTTGGGAGTTTGATTCCCCATGACGCCTCTCCTGGGCGGGCTGGACTGGATGACCCAGAGGGTCCCTTCTAGCTCTGCCATTCTAAGATTTAAAGATCAATAAACACAACCAGACCAGAAGCATTTGGTAGTTCAGTGGTTAAAATCGGTCCTTGTCGGAGGTTGATGGTCCTCTGGAGAATGTTTAGGCCCAGCTGGGGCTGGTTTGCGACAATCAATTATGCTCCATTTTAAACAAGAAGCGGTCAGTGGGGGCTTCGCTGGAGAAAAACAAGATGCGAAAGAGGGAGTGCATGGCGTGCAAAAAGAGAAAAGGGGGCAGCTGGTCCCTGCATACCAGCGGGCAGAGATGCATTGGCTATTTCAGCAAGGCAGAGAAGACAAATGGCTTTCTATTTTGGAAAGTTGCAGTTGGGCCAGAAAAGAAAGTGAAAACGGCTAGTTGAAAGAAGTATTAATCATTTGGGGTGTCTGTGTGTGGACTAAGACAGCCCCGTCCGTATTGTGTTCTGTGAATCCTAGAATCATGGAGTCGGGAGGGGGCTTTGAAGGCCATCCAGTCCAACCCTCTGCTCACGGCAGGAATCCCACGTCAAAGCAGATCGGACAGATAATGGTCCAGTTTTTTTTCTTGAAGGCCTCCAGCGTTGGCGCGCTCACCCCCTCCCCGTGAGGTCATCATCGTACTTCTCTAACAATTAGGAAGTTTTTCCTGATATTCAACTGAAATCTAGCTTCCTATACCTTGAGCCCATTGTTACGTGTCCTGCCCTCTGGAATGATGGAGGACAGATCCTGCCGCTCCGGTGTAGGACTCCCTTTCACGTCTTTGAAAAGGGCTCTCCTCTCTCACTTCAGTCTTCTTTTCTGCACGCTAAACCTGCCCAGTTCTTTCAATCGTTCCTCCTAGGGCTTGGTTTCCAGTCCCCTTGTTGCTCTCGTCTGAACGTGTTCCGGTTTTATTGGCCTTCTTCTTCAAATCTGGTGTCTAGAAGAGAACCGGACCCAGGACTGAGCCTCGGGGCACCCCACTTGTTACACCTTCTCCCAGTCGGAGAAGGAGCCATCGAGAAGCACGCTCTACGATTCTATAACCCACGGTGTCTCTACCGGATACTTGTTCGATCCAGCCCACACCTAGCTAGCTTGCTGATCAGAACATCATGAGATGCTTCATCAAAGGCTTTGCTGAAGTCAAGGTATACTATGCCTATAGTGTTCCAGTCTCGTTTGTTTCCGTGCAACAGGCCACCGCTGTTTGCACTTGAAGAGGAACCCACAACTTGAGCCAGCTTTTGGGGGGCTTTGGGGCTCTGGCCAGCCCCACTGCTGAGGTCCTCACACCACCCTGGACTCCGAATTTCTGGTCGTTTTCCTACAACGCTGAACTCAGGGTCTTGCAGGGCATTTAGAAGAGGCCTCTTGGCATCTGAGAAGTATGCCAGGCAGCAGGATGATGGGAGCTACAGGATTAAAGGACGATGCCCTGTTAAGTTTCTTTGTTCCTGTTGAGCAAAGCTGAGATCTTGATTGCGGGGAGACTAATAGATGTCCCTATGAATGGCATATACTGTTACAAGCTACTCTAGTGGCATTGCAAACAAATGTGGGTGGTTTGGCCTTGGTCGGGCAGTTTAGAGCCATTAGCTGCAGGATCAGTATCCGCTGATTCACTGATCCACGGTCTAAACATATTAAAAGAAAAATCCCCAAAATATGTATTTCTAATCGTGACATTCTCAGAATGGGCCACTAGTGGGAGCCAAAGACCTAGGTTTCCACCATGTCATTACCAGAACTGACCACAAGAGGGAGCCAGAGACTATGTTATGTACAGTACAGTTGTTCGCTTTTATAATAGTGTTTGCTATTATCCACATTTTTCGGGATCCACGAGGTGGCGATGGCTGGGACTGATCCCCCGCGGATGCTGGGGTTCTACTGAAGAGAAACAGCCAGCCCACCAGCAGCATGTTCCTCTTTGCATCATCCTCCAACCCTCGATTCAATGCTCCTAATGCTTCCTTGAGAAAGGACAGTGCATTTTGAGCGGCACAGGTAGAGGTCCAGCGATCGTCTCCAGAACATGGCTGCCTTGTCTTCCCCCGATTCGACAAGGCCACAAAGCGGTCGCAACCGGTCCCTATGGCTGTAGACAGTGCGCTCTCTTGATGGAGGAATACCCAAGTGTTGCTTTTCCTGCCACGTCCCCCCCCACTGTTTCCCTCCCTCCCTCCCCTCTCTTGTCTTGAATGCTGACACCAGACTGAATAATAAGACGCATCTCGCTTTTTCTTTTTTTTAAAAAAAAAAGAATCGTTCCAACAAGCGGCTTCTGAGGTTCATTTTGCTGGCAGCTTTTTAAGTGCGGTGGATGTTTTCAGTTCTTCCGTCTCTGCTTCAGGCCGCCTCTTTCCTTTCCCTCCCCTCCGCTTCTCACGTTAGTGCCTATGAATAGCAACAAGGGTGCTTGATAGGCCAGGTTATCCTCCTTTTTCCCTCTTTTGTTTTGTTTATTTTGGAATATAATAGGGGGAGCCCAAGCCGTATCAATTATCAAGGCTGTATAAGCAGGCATCATTGCCTTTTATTCCTCCTTCCCTACCTCTGCTAGAATATTCATCTCTAGACACCCATCATCGCAAGTTACCTGTTCTGACAATCACGTTTCCATGCGGTTGTTGGGCAACAGGGAAAAAAAGCAAAAACAAAATGTTTAGAGTGTAAGGGATAAAAGACTGTTGAAAACTGTTATATTCTTCTCCTGTCTTTGGAATCATTGAGATCTTCAGCTTAAAAAAAAAAAGCTTTATTTTATTTTTTTTAAAAAAACCCACACACACCCCTACAATGCAAGTGGAAGTCATTATGTGTACACATTTGAAGAGCGAGCGGTGTGATTTTCATAAGTTTTAAGTTCTACAAAGGAGGCCCCCGTCATCCGTTCCGTGTATGCCATGGGAAAACCTCTAGCTTTCATCTGATCTGATCCTCCTCCCCCCCCACTGCACCCTCCAGTAAATATAAAATGTTCGCTTTGGTGCATGTCTAAAGCTTACATTCAACGGTCTGAGAGGCATGCATGCCAAAAAAAGAGAAAAGAAATAACATATCATCATATAGAAAAAGCTGCACAACGTAATCAGAGAGGCAGCCCAAGGAGAAGCTAGTTTATGAAGAAGGCTTGGGAAAGATTGTTATACCATCACCACCCCACTGACCAGCCCTGATATGAGATCATCTCCATGAATTCATCATCATTTCTGACTTATGGCGACCCTTTTCCAGGCAGAGAAATATTCAGAAGTGCTTTACCCTTCCCTTCCTCTAGGGGGCATCCTTGGGACTGTGCAGCTGGCCCAAAGCTACCCAGGCTGGCTCTTCTCCCTTGGAGGCCCAGTGGGGGGAATCGAACTCTGTTCTCTGGATGTGTACGTGTTTGGATGGGTGCTTATTTCCTCTTGAATTTTCTTTGGTCATAGTATGGCGGACAACCTTCTCCATGGTGGACCTTCTCCACCCAGTGCGATAATCTGTCGGTCAATGTCAGGATGGACCCCATAAGTCAGTGAAGAAGCATGTATTTTACAACCAGGAAGGCCCCATGTTTAGTTCATGGCACTGCCAGTTTTGAGAAGGTGGGAAGAACTGATGGAGGACAGTAGCTCTTCCCTGAGTTTTATGCCATGCTTTCCAAGAGCTGTCCGGGGTGCTGAACGTCAGCACCTTGGACACCTCTTACAAAGTCCAGACTAAAACCCAAAAGTCATTGCCCCTACAAAGTTGGGAATCAACCATCTCCATCACACACAAAACCCCCTTTTTCCAAGGGCCAAGGGAACTGGTTCAAATCAAAATGGACAGTTCGGGGCCCTTAGGAACGCCCAGCTTGCTGTGTGATGCTAATGGCTCTTTTGTTAGTCCTACCAACAAACCTCCAATTGGTCTCGAAACCAAACCATACGCTCTGAGGTACTAGTCCCCGTCTATTCCGTGCTCGTTAGGCCTCCTCTAGAGCAGTGGTCCCCAACCTTGGGCCTTCAGATGTTCTTGGACTTCAACTCCCAGAAATCCTGGCCAGCAGAGGTGCTGGTGAAGGCTTCTGGGAGTTGTAGTCCAAGAACATCTGGAGGCCCAAGGTTGGGGACCACTGCTCTAGAGTATTGCGTCCAATTCTGGACACGGCACTTGAAGAAGGATGCCAGCAAACTGGAGCAAGTTCTGTTTGAGGGCAAGAAGGAGGATCAAGGGGCTGGAAACCAAACTTGATGAGGAAAGACTAGAAGAACTGGGCAGGTTTAGCCTTAGAAAAAGATGGAGGTGGAACAGGAGAGCCTTTTTCAAATCCCTGAAAGGTCGTCCTACAGAAGAGGGGCAGGATCTGTTCTTAATCATTCCAGATTGCAGGACACGTAAGAATGGGCTCAAGTTAGAGGAAGCCAGATTTCTGCTGAATATCCGGGGGGAAAGGGGGAAGAATCCTAACCGTTAGAGCAATACAACAGTGAAACCAATGACTGCGGGAGGTGGTGAGCGCTCCAGCACTGGAAGCCTTCAAGAGAAAATTGGACAACCCTCTGTCGGATCTGCTTCGGTTTGGATTCCTGTCCCGAGCAGGGTTTGGACTCGCTGGCCTTATCGGCCCCTTCCGACTCTCTATGATTCTGTGCTAAAGGTCTTAAGCACCGACAACTCCTCTTTTCTCATTTCATAACAGGGTGTTTTTCCTGAGCCTTTCAGCTGACACCATTCTGGAGCGCCTGTCCTACCGTACGGTGGACCCCATCACTGGGGAAAGGTTAGTGGTCATAACGGACCATCCTGAAGGTGATCTCACTGATTTGTACCACTGATCAATAGGCGCTAAGCTCAGAAGGAAACCGACGGAGTCTCTGTGATGGACATGGAGGTGACCATCATCCCTCTGTATGTGTTTTTTTTTGGGGGGGGGGCGACGTCACCTTCTGTCCATGAGGTTCCTGTACCCATTGTGGAAGTCTTCACCTTCTACATAAACAGGGTTAAATTTGTTACTCTGCATCTGTCCTCAGTTGCAGGTGCTTAAGACCCTGCGTTTCCCAAAGCCTTAGGCAACCACTGAGCTGAAGGCAAGCACATCCTAGACATGATATCAAGGAAAGAGCAGCCTAGACGCACCCATTGGCCAGGGAAAGAGTTCCTCCTGGCTTTTCCCATCTTCCTTTCATATCCTGCTTCTTAGAGATCAAGGACTATTCATACAGCACCTAAAAAGTATTAGGTGTTAAGTAAAACTGTAGAGGATTGGTTATTAGGAGCACTGTTGATAATTCTGGGTATGTGCTACTAAAGCTTATTTTCACATGTATGCGATTCTTTTTGTACTATAAGAGCAGTGGTTCCCAACCTTGGGCCCCCCAGATGTTCTTGGACTACAACTCCCAGAAGTCCTGGCCAGCACAACTGGTGGTGAAGGCTTCTGGGAGTTTTAGTCCAAGAACATCTGGGGACCCAAGGTTGGGAACCGCGGATGACTAGAGCATCTTCAAAAGATGAGAGGGGACGTTGACGAACTTGCTCCGTTTGCCTCCCATCTCCAGATACCACACCTTGTACAAACCTGCACCCACCGAGGAAGTGAATGATCGTCTCCTCGTCCACCCCAAGAATACGGAAGACGCTGTGAAGCTCAAGGTGGACGCCTACTTTAGGCTTGCTGGCGACCTGGAGAATTTCTTTGAAGATGCTGTTGTTATCAATGCCGACCAAGATCCCCAGACCATCTTTGAGTACATAGAAAGTTATATCGTGAACCCACTTTCTAAGACCCAGAAAGATCTCTGAGTACACAGCGAGTTGGGGTTCTTGACAGGAGGGAAATCTCATCCAACACTGAACCTCGAGTATGAGTTGGAAGCATTTTCATCAAACTTCCTAGGCAATTGTCCACTGTTGTTTTAAGCCAAGTGAAGTACGTACATGTAAGTATGCACCAAGGGACCCAATCCCCCCCGCTCTACCAATGAATTTGGGTTTTTCCCCAAGTTTATGCTTTGCAAGAGACGTTCGAAGCATTAGCCTTCTTGATAACCAAGTTGACAGGAATTTTGGATCTTACTAATCTCAAGAAGTTTCAGGAGGAAGGAAGGAAACCTCACTTCATGCTCTCTTGTCTTGGTGAGTGTTCAGGAAAAAAATGCGTCTGATTTCCTTTTGTGATCCTTGTCTTGGTTTGAAGGGGTCTAGGAGAGAGAATTAAAAGGTTTTGAACGGCACCGGTTCTGCGTTAAGATCCCTCGGTTGCATCTCTTGCAATGTCTGCTCATCTGCACTAGAGGGGAGGGCAGTTGGGAGCGTCTGGATGTGGGTAAGGGGAAAGGAAGACCGTTTCCCATTTAAAAGTCGTGCTAAACAGTAATAAAAACTGACAGCAGAAGGGGCAGCTCTGGAAACTGCCCTTTAAGAAGGATGCCAACCAACTGGAGCCAGTTCGGAGGAAGGCAACAAGGAGGATCAGGGGACCGGAGAACAAGCCCTCGGAGGAAAGACAGAGAGAGATGGGTTTAGCCTCAAGAAAAGAAGACAGAGGGGAGATAAGAGAGCACTTTTCAAAGACTTGGAGTCATCCAGAGGAGGGACAGGATAGCCAACGCTGGGGTGTGTGTTCTTGTGAACGGATGGATATCTCCGCGGTTTAGGTCTGTGGCTTGTGGAGCCAGAGGTTGGGAGTTTGAATCCTCCACTGGGCCTTCTTAGTAGGAGGAGCTGGCCTCGATGATCCACGTAAGGTCCCTTCCAGCCCTGCGGTTCTAAGATGATTATTCTTCCCCAGCAGGGAGGACCAGCCCACCAGCCTCCGTCCACCGACAGTTCCCAATGGATACAACCAACGAAGGAGAACCCTTGCACTGATGTCACTCTGCAACCAGACGGGATGACATCAGCATGTCCCCTCCAAAAAAAAAGGGTCACCACCGGCTTGCCCCCCAGGCTATCAGTGACCGGTCTCCCCTTACTGGCGTGCTCTGGGGCTGCTTACTTGAGCGGCTCGCTTCCCGTCCCCTCTGTAAAGCTACACGGCTCCCCGCGCATAAATTGGAAGGGCCGCCATTAATAATAAATGGAGCAGTACATCTTGCTAATATCACCTCCATCAGAGTGTTCCTACTAAATATTGATAGGCGAAACGGTTCGGCCGCGCATTTAAATACTGTTTGCCGTGCAGGTGAGAGGACAAAGGGGGACAGCGTCTCTTTAATTAGACAGGTACATCTGCTTAATTAATTTAGCCGTAAAGCCATTCCTCTCTCTTTCTCTCCCTCCCTCCCGTCCAACACAATTCTTTCATCTATATGCGGCCACAGATATTAGTTCCGCTCAGCCGGTCGCACAGAAACCGGAGCCGAACGAGGCTGGCTTATTGGGATGCAGCCAGCGCGTCCGCTCAAGAGTCTCAGGTCAGCGGTTAAAACACCCCCTGTTCTCTCTCTCCACCCACCCCCCCAAGGGCTTCTGCCAGGCCTGGAGTACAGGCTGTCTGGGTTAGCAGAACACGCTAATACTCTTGTAGGGCTCTCCCTCGGAAACAACTCGAACAATTGACATTCATTTAATTATCGGGAAACGAACACGAGGCCTTTGCATCCGCTTTGCATAGTAAGAGGCCCCCATTAATGCGGGGAAAGGTTCAGCGGGCGAGGACAGGAATTAAGACTTTTATAATTGGAAAGGCAGTGCTTCAAAAGCAATTTGGGAACGAGACTGGATCTGATTAGCATCTGATTCCGGCCAGATAAACATGAGGCAAGAAGATTATGAGGAAAACAAGGGAGGGGGGGTTCGGACACGAGAGGAAACAACACCTCACACCTCCGGATGTTAGCGTGATGCTTGAATGGCCCTTTTTGCGTTCCCTGGTTGGCTCCCAATGTCCGAGGGCCAGCGCCGTCCTTTCTCAATTGTAAACCCTTGCTCTGTAGAAAAGGCGTTCAATGAGCTTTGAGGTTCAGCCCAGATAGGAAACGGATTCTCCTAGTCCTTATGCCCTGAGTGCAAGAGACAACGGGACCACCCTCTCTCTGATCTGCTTTGACTTGGATCCCTGCCTCGAGCAGGGGTTGGACTTGATGGCCTTTGAGGGACCCTTTCCAACTCCACGATTCTGATTCACCACATTGCGCTGTCTTAAGAAGCCCTTCTGATGATGCTCCGGGGATGCAACAGGAATACAGGGGGCGAGGAATAAACGCAGGTCAAGGATTTTCAACAGGAACACCTTCCCTTCATGTCGTTGACCCAGGACCACAGCTGTTCATCTCTAGCCATTCTCAAGTGTTGCGACAAACATCCGTAAGGCGCCCGAGCATCATCTTCACCTTCCGTTCGGGCTCCTCCCAGCCACAACCTACAGTACATAGGACTCTGCCAGCTTGGTGAAGGGTACCTTTCTTAAATGGAGGGCTAGGAAAGGGGACACATGCCCAAAAGCATTTAAGAGAGGGTCCGAAAGGATGTAAACCAACTGAAAAGAGAAAACGATGGGGGGGGGTCTTTCTCCCTTTATTTCTGATCATCTCTCCTTTGGAGACCAATTCACCTAAGGATTCAATCAGGAAGCAGAAGAGACAGGACCTGCTAAAAAGGAGAAAGGCTTGTAAGGTTTGGTGAAGCTTACAGGGGGCAGTTGAGAAAGGCGGCTCATGATGCTTCCCCCAGATTTGTCTGCTTGATCCCAGGAGACATGATGAAATCCTCCAACACGTGGTACACAGAGCCACGGCCCATATGGTGAATGCACCTTGGGATTTATGCACCCGTTTCAGCGGTTGGGCCAGCTGCCAAGCCGAAATCTTCATTTTGCCAGCTCGCCCAAAAATCGGGTGTCCTTGACAACCCTCCACTCCCTCCCCCTTGTTAAAAGGCACGTGAAGGCAACACGCACATACTTCTTTATTTAGAAAAGGACTTTACGGAACAGCGCTACTGTGGCAGGGTTGAAAAACACATTCTCCAGATTATGCTTTCACATTTGCAAAATAAGCCAACCATATATATACAGCATTTAACATTCACAGTAACGTACCTCCCTCGAGGGACTTGGAAAATTCCAGGAAGTAAAGATAACACTGCCTACAGTATGTTTGGTCAAGAGCCGTAACAATATTTATTTATTTATTTATTTATTAGATAACACTGCCTATGTTTGGTCAAGAGCCATAACAATAAAGAGTCAGTCGGTTGATTAATATTTCTTCTGGATTAAAAACACACACAAAAAACCCATGGATTTAGTTTGGTTTTTAAACACGATACAAAAAAAGTTTAACTTGATTAAAGAATGAGATCTTAACCATACTCCATGATGGCATTATAGCGTTTTATGAGCCCCAAAGAGCGCAGGCCGGCAGAGTCAAGACAAATCTAGAAATTACCAACGTGGCGATGTGTAAATATTCAGTCTTTATGCTGATGTTGCAAACAGATTTGAGGGCTTTTACACAACACGGTATATCCAGTGTCTGATTTTTTTAATGGCCAAAATCCTGGTCCTCTGGAGTATGTAATCCTGCAGCTGTATTAAGCGAGAATGTAGTCCCTTTGAACGCGAAAGGTTCAGATCGGCCCTTGACTAACTTCACGGAGAAAGCTGAAGAAGAGTGGATTCAGTTTTCTCCTTCTTCTAAGGACTTTGTGAAGCTTTCTCCTGCATCAAGGGTCTCTGTTGAATCTCTCCACAGCTGTGTAGGCTAAACTGGTGGGCAGGGGCAGAGGCGGACAGAGGCAAATTACTGAGCTTCGTCTCATTTCCAACACACTGTGTTTGAGCAATCAGTTCCGATTTCTGGCAAAGAGTGATCCGTTCCTCCGCGTGCTGAGCAGGGGGTGAATCGAAAAGAGAGACGCAAAGGGCGGGGGGCAGAAGCAGAGAGCGAAGAAGGCGGTTGCCCAGCTTGCTCTTGAGTTCTGATCCTGCCTACATTTAGCCAAGCAAGTGGTCTCAATTGGGGGGGAGAGTTGTCTTCTCCTACGCTGGGAAGAAAAAGGAAAGGAGGCCTCCCGAGGTGCTTCTGGGACTGAAAAAAAGGTGCCCACATCCATCTTGGAGCAGAGCGTGGCCTGTTCGTGGCCTGCAGGTGACCCTTATCGGTCCCCCCCTTATCTACTCTGCCAGTCTGGATTTCTTTAGCAGCGCTGATTGATGAGGCTTCGGCTCGGGAACACTCTCCTCTTGCTCGTCTTACCACCGCAAGAACACACTGTTCAATTTTTAATTAGGATTTTACACTGTTTTAATCCAATTAACCCAGTAAGTATGACTGTCTAATGCGTACCCATTAGGTCCTCTCAACAGGCTGTGATCGGGGCTCCGGTGACGGGCAAAGCCGAGGAAGGAGAGTGGCTGTAGGGAAAAGAGCGTTTGCTCCTTCCGTCGGAAAACCGAAGCCTTTACGAAGCTGTTAGGGCGGGGTTGGATCCTGAGACTTGTCTGGTGGGATGCCGAAGGCTGCCATCACGTTTCCCCCCCCACCAAACCCCCCACCACCACATTTCCTACTTCAGATCTGTTTAACTAGAGACGGCCTTCGTGTTTGGTTAAAAATGAAAAAGGTGCAGCCTTCTTATCTCTGGTTGTGTGGGCCTGCCTAAGAGTATGAACTTGGGAACGTCAGCCTACAACGCAAGAAACAAAACCTTAAACATCAGGTGCTCAGTAGGGCGCACTAGGTAAAAAAGGAAGAGGAGGGAAAGACACATGTACGGCTGGATAGCTTGGTGGTTGAGGTTTCTGGCCGCAAAGCCAGAGGGTTGGGAGTTCGATTCCCCCCCACGGAGGCTCCTTGGTGTACGGCTGGATAGGTTGGTGGTTGAGGCCTCTGGCCGCGGAGGCAGAGGATTGGGAGTTCGATTCCCCCCCACAGAGGCTCCTTGACAGGGTCTGGATTGGATGTTCCATAAGGGTCCCTTCTAGCTCTCCAGTTCTATGATGATGATGTTAAACATCCAAATTAGGGTTCAGTAATTTTGCGGGATGGATAGCTCATGGGTTAAGGAGAGGTTGGGAGTTCGATTCCCCGCAACAGGACCTCCCTGACGGGCTGGACTGGATGCTCCCAGGGAGTCCCTTCCAAACTCTGCCATTGTAAGATGATGACGGACACACAGAGCCTCCTTTCAGAATCAAAACCCTACCAAGTGGCGAGGGGAAGGACCGGCACTACCCTCTCTCTATAACACCACTTTTTAAATTGCAGGAACTTGTACACGCAGCAGCGATAGCACTTAAAACTCCTACCAAACATACATGCACTGAAGCCTGGAGTAATCCCATGTACCATTCTGCTGCACAGGTAGATCCAGCTATACAGAGACGGAAATCTCTTTCTTCTGTTTAAGCCACTCCGCTGAAACCTACCTGAATCAGGTGATCAGAAAGCAGGCTTTGGCTGAGCTGAATTTCGGAGCAAACTGGCTGCTCAAGCCAGAAAAAATTCTCCTCCACCTGGACTGTTACTGGAGGAAAGCGATTCTTGGCCAAGCGCGAGTACAATTCTTGCTTTAAAAAAAAGGGTGGGAGGCTAGGAGACGCCAGTGTCAACAGAGAGGTGCTTATTTTTTAAAAGAAGTGGGCACAGGGGGTATCAAAATAACGGATGCCCAAGGTGTTAAGAATGAGCTCTGCACAGCGTGGAACGAACCAGTTTTTAAAACCTGAGGTTCTGAGCGATCTTCCAGTTGCCTGATGCTCCTGGGAAGGAAAGCCCGAGACTTGTTGGTTAAACTCGGCAGTAGTAAAACAAAAACGGCCCAGTTTTCTTCACGGATGATGACTGGCATGCAAGATATTTTTAAAACATACTGAAAACCCCGTTATTTCTAATAATTTAATAGTCTCTGGTACAGTTAAGTGCCAACGGCGGTCAAAAAAGTTCAAGAGATGGGAAGTGCTGATCATCTGCCCACCCCAACCCCCAACCCCACCCTCCAGGCAGGAGCTTGCTGTTCGACATTTCGCTGCAGGTGGGCGTGGGGGGGGCATGGTGTGTTTCTCCGATTCCGGGCTCCGCTTGACGGAAAGAAACAAGCCTACGGCCGCTGTTCAACTGGAACTGGGATCAGAACCGTTTCCAAAGTCCCAGTGTTGGAGTTTCCCATGCGATGGTCGCTCCTGCGTTCGTAAGAGTTGAAAAAAGGGGCCTGGGACCCTCCCCGAGCATCTCCAGCTCGCAGGCTCTCCTGAATTTTTCTCCCTTGGGAGCATCTGCATGCCTGCGCCTTCGGGCGCTTCCCAGGCTGGGTAGACCTTCAGGTTCTCTGCTGGGAGCCCTTCGCTAGAAAACAGGAGAGTCACAGAACGTACAAGGTCCTTGCAACAACCTCTTGATCCATTCGGGATCTGGAAGTAAGAGAAGAAGCGGTTGGGTGGATGGAAAAAGAAAAAGGGAGAAAAACACAGGCTCAGGACAGGAAGGAAGGGGTGCTGCAAGGGGAACAAAAACATTATCATCTTCAAAACACTGTGCTCTGCTCCCCAAATAGTCCTGTGGTATTTCCAACACCTGCTCCCACCTCCCAGGTATGCAAAGGCCACAGATGCGTTTCGAACCACACTGTATTGCAATTTAACTAGCGAGTTTAATGTGCTGTATGATGAATTCTACTGTCCTCTGTTGGATGCTACCGTTAAGAGAAACAAGGTGATGTAAGGGTCAGAGGGTGAGGGAAAGATCCGGAAGAACCAGATCTGACTCCTTGCTGAGCCAAGACACGCACAGACCTACGACTCATCCGCTGTCCGACTTACTTCACAGGGTTGCTGTGAAGATAAAAGGGGAAGGGGGACGGTGCGGAGGTTTTCGTTTTGAGCCCAGAAAATGGAAAGGTGAGATACGACTAATCAATATAAAGTGCCTTGGGAAGACCAACCTTGAACGATGGCCAAGCAAGGCATTTAATTAAATTAAAACGAGCTGTAAATGAGCGATGTGACTCTGGCTACCCGAAAGGGCAGGCAGATTCCCCCTGCTATTGGAGTAATACCAAAGCAAGGCTCGGACGGCACCCGAAGCAGGGGCGACTCGAGAGCCGCTAGAAGCCAAGGGAGGATCTGCCCTTAAAGCTCCGCCAGCCTTTCCAAGATCCTTTAGAAAGATACTCACCAGCGGGGGTCGGATGCCGGGCGATGCTGTCACGCAACAGACACCTTCGGTACACCAAACTCTGGCAGGCCTGGTAGGTTAGAAAGCACCTGCAAAAAGCAGCACAGGGATCGCGACGGAATGCCACAGCTGTAAGGGTCACGTGAGCAGCATGCCATACCCGCAGGGAAGGAGCCAGGCGGAACTCCTCTGGGAGTTGCTTCCGTAAGGCCGGTGCCACTGCGTAGAAGGCCCTGCCTCTTGTGGGTGACTTTTGGGCCTCCCTCGGGGTGGCTACCCTGAGAGGGTCTGGTGGGTCAGGCAGACGACCCCTCCAACCCTCTCCTGCCGTTGAAACCAGAAGGTAAGGCACCCCGGCTTCCGAGAAGCAAACTCACCTGAGCCAAATGTGTCCGTTGGAACAAACCGCCTGCTTGCGATCCGTGAACGGCAGGATCTGTTTGCACAAGCTGCAGTGCTCCGGGAAGGTCTGTTTGTTCATCTTCTTTAAGATATGCCCAATCAGCACCTGGGAACACACAGCAGCGGCGAAGGGAGAAGTCAGCCGCAGCGCTTATAGGAAGAGACACATCTGCCTGCTGAAAAGGTGGGGGGGAATCTCACAGGAGCCCGCGTGGGGCTCTGTGAAGAACACAGGATTGTAAAAAGCCCAAACCTGCTTAAAGCAGAACACAATGGAACAGGGGGAAAAAAAAAGCTAACGCTGGCAACTCAGGCAAAAGGCAGAGCAAATCATTTCTCCGCACGCCGCTCAGGTAGTCTGGGAAATTTAATTGCCCTTAATCCCCATGCATCTGGGGAAAATATATATATATATTTATAAAGAGCTGATGGTTAATGGCAAACTGGAAGGGAACGTTGCCTCAAAGCACATGTTACCACTCAGAGAACATGATAAAATACTTTTGAACCCCTTCTCTTCTGTCAGCGGAGTTTCCAGTCTTACCCTCTTAAGAGGGGGATTGAAAACACACACATACAGGATTTTTGACAAGCACACAATTGCATCGTTGCTGTTTATATAGGAACGCGGATGGTTAAAGTGCATTGAAGAGTCACGTGAATGAAAAGGTTCCTGTCCCCCCAAGGAACTGAACAACTCAAATTTCGCCGGGAGGGGAAGGAAGAGAGGAAGAATTAGCTGGCTTCAGGAAAGCTTCTCCCGTTCCCCCAGAAAACGTGTGCTAATTTTCTGACACCAGCAAATGTTTGCAGGCTGCATGTAACAGCAACTCTGATGATTCTGCCTCAGATCAAGGCACTCTATTATGACTACAACACTCACCTAGACTGGGTGGCCTAAACCCAACAGCTGCGCTCTCCTAAAGAAGACTGATTCAATTCATTGCTGAAGGGCGAGTCAATGTAATTATGTATGCTTTCGCTCATCGGTTTAGCCGCTCCTCCTGATGGGAGGAGCCAAGGAGGGTTGACTGGATCACCGTGGTGGTTCCAAACAAAAAGCCAAATCGTGCACCCACTCTGGCTCATTGGCACCTCTACATGCAGCCAATTTTCATAACCCATCATTATTATTCTTTTTAAACACCGAGAGGCGCTTACCCGTGCGGTCCGGTCGTCATAACTTTCGTCAGACATTAAGAAGTCACAGACCCCCCTCGTAGGAATGCTGGTGTTCTCTGTAATCCACGTGTGCAAGTATACCTCACCCAGGACCCGCTTCATATGTTCCCGCGTCAAATGCATTTCTACCACTTCAATCTGGGTGTGGATCTCCAGAAGCCTGTTTTCCACCGGCTCCCGCCCTCCAAGGTCACTTGAGTGGCCAAGGGCGTCATCGCCCGTCTCCTCCGTCTCCACTCCCCTGCTCGCTTCGCTCACACGCCGCGTCCTGCTCTGTTTCGAAGTCCCCTCATCCTGCGGCTGCTCCTCGAGAGGCCCTGCCCCAGGGGAATGTGCCAGGAAGACTTTTGCGTCCTCGTGCGTCGGCCTCCACAAAGCCTCGGACGGCGCTTTGTGCAGTGACTGGTACAAGACCCTCAAGAGGAACAGCTTGAAGCGCCAGAAATACGTGGAGCCAAAGGTTTCGATCTTTTTATCCAAGGCCTCCTGCAAGAATCGTGGGATGTGCTTCTCTTTCAGAATCTTCCAGCGGATGAGGTCGGTCAGGTCTACCTGCCGGAAGAGATTCTGGACGGACGATTCCAGCAGCTGAGCGGCAGCCTCCTCAAACGTTTTGAGGGTCACAAACTGGACCTGGTAGGTTTTGGAAATGGGGTGGAGGCCGTTGGTCATGCCCTCCGTCGTTACGACCGCCAGGTAGGCCCCGCACGGACTCACCGCGATCCCGTGAGTCCTCACCGAGCCGAACACCTCCGACAAGCTGATCAGCTGGTGCTCGAATTTCAAGGCAGCGTCCGTGAAGATGGGGATCAGCTGCCGGACCTTCCCGTCCACGGAGCACGTGTAAACGGTGCCGTTCTGCCGGTCCACCGTCATGGAGACAATGGGCAGGGCGTGCAATCCCGTCACGTGGGAGTTATGGACGTTCAAGCCGGCTTTGGAGATCAAGAGCAAGCACCAGAAGACGTAACAGCCCCGAGCAGCCACCACTAAGCTGCAACTACATTTCTGATAGGGATGATAGAGCGGGATGCTCTTGATACTGTGGACTGGCAACTGGTCCATCTCTTGCCACAAAACCACCGGCTGTCGCAGCGTGAAGTAGCCTTTGACCGCTTTCAGGTTGACGGGGAGGATTTTTATGGGCCCGAACGTGCTCCCTACAATGAGCCCGCTCATCTTTCGGTTGCTGTGCTCATATTCCCACCAGGACAAGACGCTGGGGGAGCTGATGCCCGACTCGATGGTGTTGCACGAAGTGATGGATTCTTTGCCCGTGAAAGGAAGCTGGAACTGCCAGACGGCTATGTTCCCGTTTTCGAAGACCACGGCCAGCAAAACGCTGCCCACATCCCGACACTCGTTGTTATGCTTCACCTGCTGGGTGGTGCAGATCCCCGACCACTCCATGCGGACGGGCGTCTGCATGCTGTGTCTCCTCTGGAATTCGGAGAAGTCCCCTAAATCGGCCCGGGGGATTTCTCCCTTGCAAAGCCTGTAGCCGTTCTCACACAAACGCTCTCCGTAGAGTTCAGTCAAATCAACCAGCTGCACCCACTGAAGCCTGTTCAGGTTAGCGTGGATGGTCAGTCTGTTGTCCATGGTCAACGCGGCCAAAAGACACCGTCCGTTCGCGTCGCAGCCCAGCGGAGACCAGCTGGCGTATTTGTAGCCTCGCATGGAAGGTAGTAATTTCCCTTCCGGGTTGAACACCCTGTCTAGCATGAACGTCTGGCTGATCGTGGGATCCTTTGAACTGGCAAACTTTTCCTTGCATACCGCAACTTCTTTTTTTGAACCAACCTGGGAGGGAGGGAAACCATACATTTCATTAGTGAGTTCAAAATGAAGGTTAGTGGGTTACCTGCAAAAAATAATACTGTAATTGCCTACTTGATCCGATATTCATCTAATGAAGCAGGTACTCAACACAGCTGACTGCACCATCTTCTCCTCTTGCCATACAAGGAAAAAAAAAAAAGAATATACTAAAACTTTACAAGCTGCGCGAGGGTCCCAGAAACAATCCTCTGTGGCTACAGAGGCATTTATGCTACAATTCCTACCAGAGCTGGCAATCCCCTTCACCGAAGAGGAGCCTCTGCTTAAACCACCCCAATCATTCTTGTTTTCTCACTCCAGAAGGGTCTGCCAGGAGAAAAGGGAAAAAGGTTCCTCCCATTTAACAACCTCCCCCCCAAAATCCCTTTTGCAAGAAGCCAGCCAGGCCCCGGGGGGCTAGACCAGCTTTCTTTCCCCCCACCTTGTGGCAGGGAGTTCCACCAGCCAGCAAGGGGGCGTGGCTTTTCTTGAGGGGCGGGGCCAGGGGAGCGCGCCTGCGCACTGCCAGGCCCTGGGGGCTAGACCAGCCTTCTTTCCCCCCCCACCTTGTGGCAGGGAGTTCCACAAGCCAGCAAGGGGTGTGTGGCTTTTTTGAGGGGCGGGGACAAGAGAGCGCGCCTGCGCACTTCCACCCTGTGTGTGTATATATGTACGGTACTCCCACCTCACCCCCCCCTCAGGCCCACCTTGAGGTGACAGGCGGCGGCCGGGGCCGGGACGGCGGTGCGGTGGAGGACGAGGTCGGCGCCTCCTCCTCCTCCGTGGACGTCGCTCAGCTGCTCGAGGACGGCGACGCTGCGGGCCGTGGCGACCGAGACGCGGTGGTCCTCGGACCAGGCCAGGGGCTCCAGGCCGGTCACGCTGTGCTGGAGACGCACCGCCGGTTCGCGGCGCACCGCCGTTAAGCGGAACCCGGCGCTGCTCCCGCCCGCCGGGCCGGCCTCCCCCTCAGGGCCCTCTTCTTCCTCCTCCTCCTCCTCTTCTTCCACCGGCGACGGCTCGAGCTCTTCCTCCTCCTCTTCCTCTTCCTCAGGCGAGGCGGCGGCCTTCCCGGCCCCGGGGCTCCCCTCAGCAACCATAGCAACCCCGGCCGCCGCCATTTTGCCGCCGGCGCCTCACAGGAGAGCCTCCCTCGCGGGGCCACGCCCCCTTTTTCCCTCATGAGGCCTTTGCGCAGGCGCGGCCGCGTGGGAAAGGACCCCCCCATTTCCCTCTCCCACTCTGGGGGGGGAAATAGGTGGCCAGCGCGGTGCCTGCGCTTAAACGCCCCCTCTCCCCTTCAGCGGGAAGACACGTGCGCGCCTTCGCCTTGTTCGTGTGAATCGTCATATTTCCTTGGTGAGACACGCGTCGGGGCGGAAGGTGGTCCAGGCGCTGCGGGTGAGTGCGTGCCCTAGCCCTGCTTGAGACTCAGGGAAACTGATTAAAAAAAAAACCCCTAGTCATTAATTAATAATCCTAATTGCTAGTATTGGGCTATTTGCAACAATGTCTTATCTGTTCATCATTAATGGCAATGGGCATTATTATTGTTACTCCCCCTCATAGTTCATATTGTCATGATTATTATTAATAGGCCTTGCTCTTAGGTAGCATTGCTAACTAGCACTAATGAGGTTAATTAGCAATCATTGCTGGATTAACTGTTATATGTTATTGTCATTACTGAGGCAGAATTGTATTAGTAACAATAGTATCAGTTACTGGTAGTTAACAGTAACTATACTATCTGGTAATTATTGTTGCATTTTGCTTCCTTGTTGGCATTGCTGTTATTGGAACTCCTTTTCAGCAACATTTTTAAAACAGGTTTTTTGGTTTCTTTGAAGCTTTGGCTATTTGATTTAATTTGATTTTTGTTCACTTTTTTTTTTTTGCCTTTTCCGTCTGTGCCTCCCGTCTTATGTCCGCACAGGGTCTGATCCATCCGGTAATGCTCACGTGAATTCAGAAGAAGAAAAAAAGAGAGAGAAGGCACGAAAGTATCATCCTCTAGTGTTATATAAAAATTTAAAAAAATTTAAAATGCAAGTAATCCGACTTTTAGAGGTTGTTGATGTGGTTGTTTTGCAAAGGAAATCTTGCTAGATGCCTGGGGAGCGGACATGGGTCTGGATGGGACCGTGACTCAAAGCGCACCATGCGCCGAAGGCTGGCGGCCGTTTCTCAGCTTCTCCCCTTTTTAAAAAGCCTGGCTTTAATTTAATTTTGATTTCCTCCTCCTTAGGAGGCCTCCGGCCAGAAACTCTTCCTTGCTCCCAGCCGCCATGGAGACGGAGGACGGCTTGCTGATCAATGCGCACTCCTCGGTGCCTCCCGGACCGTCCCAGCATCCGAAAGGATGGAAGACCCGTTCTAAGCCACAACGACGTGGCGAGGAGAAAAAGGTACGGCTTCGTGGCAACGGGCAGGCAAGGACTCGAAAGCCGAGCTATGCCTTCATTCTTTTCCCTGGGATTTTGACGGTGCTTTGGTAACATGACGAAAGAGTTGGGAAGACGAGTAACGAGAATTGATCTGGGATGCTCACCGCACTGAGCGACGAAACACATTGAGGGACCTCTGGCGCCTTGATCTCTCTCTCTCTCTGTCTCGGACTGTCCGGTGTGATTTAATTGATCTTGTATTTTACTGCTAATGAGGAGGGGGGGATGCTTGGAAATGTTTTTCCTTCCTTCTGTGCCAAAGCAATGCGGCTGTTGCTGGGTATTGTTTTGTACACCTTGAGTTGGAAAGGGTGTCGTTTTGGATATCCCTTGTTTGCTTTTAAAAAAAGCTTTAGGCCATCCTTAGTTCTCTCCCACCCCCTTTATCTTCACAACAAACTTGGGTAGTCGCTTAAGGTGAGTGGCGAGTTCTTCTCAGGCTTTTCATGGCTCAGTAGGGGAATTTAAAGTGGTTTAAGTCTCTGGCTGTGAAGCCAGAGGTTGGGAATTTGATTCCCCCCACGGTGTCTCCTTGACCTGATGATCCAGAGGGTCCCTTCCACCTCTGCAATTCCGAGATTATTATTATTATTATTAGTTTCTCCGCCATATTTCAGCATTGGTTCAGGTTGTAAACTTCTCTCTACCCGCCCGGCGCCAGCATCTGTACCACTGATTTTAAGCAGCTGTTATCCTGGAGCCTTCAGCGCATAAAGATTTCTCTCTCTGCTCTTTGAAAAACTTCAGATATGAACGATGGCCTGTCAGCTCAAGTGTTGAGGAGTTCTGTGGTTTTTTTAGGGTCATGCTTAGTTCCAATATTTGCTCTGATCTGTCATAGTAAATGGGTTTTCCCAACGTGACAGCCGGCTGATATATTGGATTCCTGTGTTGCTGCTGCTCCTTGGGAGTTAGTGGGAGATCTTTAGTTTATCTGCTGGATGCCAAACTATTGTTTGGTGTGCCACAGTAGAAGGGCGTGCATGTGGCAGATGGTGCCAAACTATTATTTGGTGTGCCACAGTAGAAGGGCGTGCATGCTTTGTCAACCCACATGGACAGGAGCAGTACTTTGATGGTTTATGCTTCCGCCTTTGATCGAGTACGACTTAATGTCATTCAGGCCATGAACAATAGGCAGTCTTAAACAGGAATGATTTAAACCAGTCAGTTTCAGGAAATATGGTCTGAAGTTGGCTTGTTTGAAACTAACCAGGGTTTAATATTAACCATGGTTTGTTGACCTGGGTGACGCAACAAACCATGGTTAAGCTGAAACTTGAATGCAATCCTCTCTGGGTGGGATGAAGATAATGGAGGGCGGAATGTGCAGCCTTCACTGTAGTTTGTTCTTCTGTTTGTCACTAAAATTGTTCCCTTTATTATCCTGTTTCCTTGTTTCCCCCCCCCTCTCAAGACTGTGAAAAGAAAACTGGAGCAGCCACAGGAAGTGGTCCCTCTAAAGCGGAAGTCAGTTTCACCTTCACCCCAAACCAAGCAACTACCAAAGAAGCCGAAAAGTGGCCTCAAGATATCTGGGCAACCAACGCCTCCTTCGAAGAAGCCTTTGACTGACGCGAACGGTGGGAGCAGGCCTTTTGTTAAGACTTCTTCTCTCTTCAAAAACAACCCTGAGATACCAGACATTCAGAGGTATTTCACCCCAGTTTCCTTAAAAGAAGTAAAAAACGGGCTTACAGACTCTGTAGAAATGCAAGAGTAGTGTTACCTTTATAAACCCTTAAAATTAACTATGCCAGCTTTTGTGGATTAGGATTGTCCATTATTTTCAATAAGATTCTAGAGTATGATTTTAAAAACGACTGAATGATTGTTATCGCGATCCACGGGCAGAACCCTTTTATGGAAACCTACTGGCGTTAAGCCCGGCATTGTATGTCTCGGTGGCTGATTGCCACGAGTTCAGAAGTGGGCGATCTTATTTCCTGCCCGAAACTAGCAGTGCGAACCGGAGACGCCGACTTCTTCACGAATTGCAAAATTCAGTGCGGAAATGTGTGTTGCTGGACTTGATTAAAATTAATGAATTTCAAAAAGTGAACATTTCGATTCTGATATTGGTTCCTCAAATATCGGCCTTCTCGGATGCTGTGGATTTCAATTCCAGAATCGCTGGGTGTTGGTTGAGATAAATATGTGTAAAATTCAGAGAATTTCCACCCTTATGGAAGGAACCATATTTTCCCCCCTGTTGCATGATAGCCTTGTGAATTTTATTTTATTTCTCTTTGCAAAATGAATTCCTTTCTTCATTCTTCTTATAGAACGTCGGTGAAACAGGTGCAGGAGAAAATTTTTACTTCCGATTCCTTTGACCAGCTAAAGCTTCACCCTCATCTAGTAAGCGCTTGCTTTTTTCATCGTTACGGCGCCCCGCTCCATTGATTTTGACCCTTGAAATAAAAGCATCCAGAGGGACATCTTTTAAACTTTAGAAGCAATATCTAGTAAACTCTTAGAAACAAGGGTAAGGGGTGAGGTGGTTGCGACTTGCTTCTTTCTTAATTAAATGTGTGTCTTCTGCTCAGGGTGGTCATGTAATTTAATGCAACATGACTGTTACTAAATCACTGAAATGCTCGTTTGAGTCAAATAATTGATCTTGTCATTCCCCACCCTTTAGGTTTCGACAATAACCTCGGTTTTGAAGATCTCTAACATGACCAGGTAAAAGAAGCCTTAGCTGCGAAAGTAACACTAGGATAAATTCAAACATTTGGTTGAATTATACGTACGTGAACTGATATTTCTGCTTTTAAGTACCGGGGAAAAGGAGAAAAAAAACATGGTACATGCATTTGTTTATTTAATAATTTTCTAACACCCCCCCCCAAGGGGGGTGATGGTGTCAGTGGCTTTTGTTAACTCATATGAATTTTAAAAATTATAAAGTGACGACTCTAAGCAATCACAAGTTGCTGGAACCGCTTTCTCTAACTTGACATTCTCTAAGTATCTTAAAGTGCAGTCCCCTTACCTTGCAGTGGGGATGATGGGTATTGTAGTGAAATATGCTTGGAGGAAAATTTGTTGTTACTGTATTTTTTCAAGTGTATGCAGTACCTAAAAAACCTCCAGCCATTGTTCACAACTGCAGAAAGACCATTGTATCCATGGGATATCGGTTCCGAGCTCCTTCCCGCCCCCCGCAGATGCTGGAACATGCGGATGATAGTGAACGCTACACATAGCATAGTCTCTAGCTCCCTTTAGTAGCCAGTTCTAATAAATACACCCTGGAAGTATGTACAAATAGGTATTTCTGGGGTTTTTTCTTTCATATCTTCAGGCAGCGGATAAGTGAATCAGCAGATATCGAACCCGTGGATAAGGGGGTCTGGTTCATTATATGAACTGGTGAAACAGCTATTAATGCTCTGTTTCCACGGAGATTTTCATTTTTCTCTTCTCTCTTTCCTCTGGTGCTTGCTAAACTTGGCTGCCCAGTGTTCAGAAGCAGACGATTCCTGTGCTCCTGGAGGGCAGAGATGCTTTGGTGAGATCACAGACGGGTTCCGGTGAGTGTTGAGCCGTCTCTTATTTCTGAGGGTCAGGAATGCTCAGGGTTGGGCGGGTTTTACAGAGTGAGCCTTTTTTTGGCAGTTGGAGGAAACATAGTCACTTTTACGGACGTGTAGCCCCGGAGCAGTGCTTCATAGGGAAACCTTCCTGCAATTTTATTTTCTCCTTTACTGCTGAAAAGGGTCACCATAAGTTGGAATCAATGTGGTGGCACACGATTATTATGGGAACTGTATTTTGCATTGCCTTTATGGAGGGTCAACGTTGAAATTAATGCTTCGCTCTTCTTATAGGGAACCAAATAATGTGTTTTTATCTACTCCTTATTATCCCAATTTTCTTAAAGGTAAAACGCTTGCCTACGGCGTCCCTCTCGTACAATCTTTGCAACGAGCAGAGCCCAAAATACAGGTAGGTGTGCTGCGGCCAGAGATCTTTGGTTCGCTCTTCTATTTGCCCCTCTTGCATAAATCTATACGTGTTGTGGGACCCAGTGTGGTACAGTGGTGCCTCGCTTACCTCTTCTTATAGGGAACCAAATAATGTGCTTTTATCTGCTCCCTATTATCCCAATTTTCTTAAAGGTAAAACTCTTGCCTACGGCGTCCCTCTTGTACAATCTTTGCAACGAGCAGAGCCCAAAATACAGGTAGGTGTGCTGCGGCCAGAGATCTTTGGTTCGCTCTTCTATTTGCCCCTCTTGCATCGATCTATACGTGTTGTGGTACAGTGGTGCTTCACTTAACGACGTTAATTTGTTCCAGCGAAATTGTTGTAGAGCAAAAACGTAAAGCAAAAATAAAAAACCCATTGAAACGCATTAAAACCTGGTTAATGCGTTCCAGTGGGATAAAAACTCACAGTCTAGTGAAGATCCTCCATACGGCGGCCATTTTCAGTGCCTGTATAGCGAGGAATCCGTCCCTAATCACAGCGGGGAGCCATTTTGAGCACCCGGTGGCCATTTTGAAAACACAACGATCAGCTGTTTTGATTGACATAATGTGAAGAATCGATTCCGGAAGCAGGGAACTGATCTTCGCAAAGCGGAAAAAAACCATTTAAAACATCGTTTTGCGATCACAGTTGCGATTGCAAAAACATCGTCATAGAGCGGGTTTGTCGTAATGAGGGGCAATCGTTAAGCAGGGCACGACTGTACAGTGGAACTAAGGACTCGAAAGACCTGGGTTTAAATCTCCCCATGGCCATAGAAACATACCAGGTCTTGCTAAGATAAACCACTCCTTAAACATCTCGGGCATCTGGAAAATCCTGTGAAGGTTGCTCCAAATCAGAAGCAGCTTGACGGCACTCAACAGCAACCGCATGTTTCAAGTTTTGATCGCTTGGTTCTCCTTCCGTCTCTCTTGTTTTCATAGCGCAGCGATGGGCCCTACGCTCTAGTCTTGGTTCCAACCCGAGAGGTAAGTAACATTTTCACACGTTTTCTATTATATTTCTCTTATTTTTCTGCACTGTTTATTTAAGAAGGCCCTCTCATCTCTCCTTACTATTCTTTGGAAGTCTGCATTCCGCTTTCTGCAACTTTCCCTCTCTCCCTTGCATTTCGTTTCCCTTCTCTGCTCTTTGTAAGGCCTCGCTGGACAGCCACTTTACTTTCTTGCCTTTCCTTTTCTTTGGGATGGTTTTTTCTTGCTGCCTTGTGTACGAGGTTACGAGCCTGGAGGCTCGTAACATGGTGAGAGCGTTAGAATGCTATAAGTCAGAACTGATGCTGAAGATGGTCGGGGACACATGGTGTTTGCATCAATTAATGAGATCTAATTCTCTTCTCTGCAGCTGGCCCTCCAGAGTTTTGAAACGATCCAGAAACTGTTAAAGGTAAGGCTTGATGGCAGAAAAGGGCACGTTTTCGTGCTCTGCTCACTTGGCCTGAGATTTATCTGGGTTTTGTTCCGTCTTTCTCTCTGATAATTTCTATGAGCCAATCCCCGGCAAAAACCTGTCCCGCCCCCTCGCCTGAATGGGCGATCGTCCAAAGAGGCGGGGCAGGGCCCTTGTACAGACGAACCGACACGAACCTCCGAACTGTGGTTCATGCCCATCTCTCGTCCTAAAGCCTTCCCTCTTTGTTTCCCAAAAGTTTTTACTGCTTTCCTTCTTCCCCTTTCCGTAGCCAAAGAGGCGGGGCAAGGACCTTGTACTGCCGTGCAGACGAACTGAGACGAACCTCCGAACTGTGCCCATCTCTCGTCCTAAAGCCTTACCTCTTTGTTTCCCAAAAGTTTTACTGCTTTCCTTCTTCCCCTTTCCGTTCCTGCTCTGTCTAGCCGTTCGCCTGGATCGTGCCCGGTGTCCTGATGGGAGGAGAAAAAAAGAAGTCTGAAAAATCCAGGTAGGGTGCCAGCTTCATCAAATTCTGTTTTTTTTCCCCCTTTCCTTTTTGAGCTCCCTCTCTTCCCTTCGGGTTCTTTCATCTGCCACTCTCCCCCGGGGTGTCTTAAAAAAAAATTTGAGTGCAGAAGGAGGCGTGTGACTCCAGATCAGCTTGTGAGTGCTCCCCACCGTGTGTCTTACAGCCGACGGACGGCCAAGCCAGCAGGAAGTGTGTTCACATCTCCCTGCTTTTAAAATGTTGATGAGAGTTTTCGTCCTCGATGATCGGCGTTGCTCCCCATTGGCTCGTTCTGTTAGTTTCCTTTTTTTTGGGATGGATCGATCTCCTCCCCCACTTTCTCTCCTAAATCTTCCCTTTCCCTCCAGACCTCTTGCAAAAATTCTACATTTTCTTAGCAGGAAAGGCTTGAGCCGGCAGTAGAAACAGCAGCTTTAGAGGATGCTGTGGTATTCAGGGCCACCTAAAGATGGGTTCGTCAAGAGCGGTCAAATGCTTTTTGTTTTGCTGTTGCCGTGTACGCACAAAAATGCACGTCACATAACTTGTGCAAAATGTGGACGACTTCTGCTTTGTGGTATGGGCCTTGAAGAATCATAGAGGTTGCTTTTTGGGTGGTGTGGTGGAATAAGCTATGTGCAGAAACATCCAACAGATCTCTCTGCCCATAGCTTATTTTCCCCAAATTTTAGGGAGAAATCCTGGGAAACAGACAGTGATTGGGGTCTTAGACAGGTACCCCATCCTTGATTTAGAGCAGTTTTAATTCAGGGAAAAATAAGCATCTGGTGCTGATTCAGGAACCACAGATTACAGTGGTGCCTCACATAATGAGCGCACCGTTTAACGACGAATCCGCATAGCGACGCGTTTTTTGCTATCGCTAATGTGATCGCATTACCGATCTTCGCATTGCGATGTTTAGAAAACAGCTGATCAGCGGTTCCAAAATGGCCACCGGATCAGCAAAATGGCCGCCTGCAGCGTTTTCGCGCCCTGCCCTCGCTTACCGGGCAACGAAAATGGCGGCCGGATGGGGGAATCTTTGCTTACCGGTGAGTTTTTCCCCAATAGGAACACATTAAATGGAGTTTAATGCGTTCCTATGGGGTTTCCCCCCCCACATAGCGACAAATCCGGATAGCGACGTTAATCCTGGAACGGATTAACGTCGCTATGCGGGGCACCACTGCATATCCGTGCTGAGCCCTTTCCTGGAATCTTGGGGTACCCTTCTAATTCTCAAAGAGCAGCCATGCAATTTGATAGAATAGGGTAGAGTCCGCCTATTGGACCAGAGAGCTCACAACTGAGTCATTGATTCGGTGGTTCTGTTCTACCTGGAAGCCACTGCGGGATTTAAATGCCATGTTAATTTAATTTTCATTTTTCTTTTTAACTTCATTTCTATTCTTGTCTGTTGTCAACCACTCAGAGTGGCCATTGGTCAAATGAGTGGTATAGAAATCGAATGGATGGATGGATGGATGATTTTTTGTTTTTCCCCAATATGAGTCTGAATCTAGTCTGGAGGCAGCTTAACTTTCCCCTTCCAGCCGAGCCCACTCTGAAGATGTTCCCTTTTTTTGCTCTATCAGAATACGTAAAGGGATAAACATCTTGATTGCCACTCCGGGCCGCCTGGTGGACCATATAAACTCCACGAAATGCCTTCATTTCCATCGAGTCCGGTGGCTGATCCTGGATGAGGCCGACAGGTAAGCCGGTTGGTCACTGAGTGCATTGCTGTTGACTAGGAGATCTCCCTATTGAGGGGTTGGGGGGAAAGGAAGGCCACCCTCTTTTTTATAATCCATTTTATACCAAAGATGATGAAACAGAGGCTGTCTTAACTTTGGCCACATCTTGAGAAGGCAGGATTTTCTGGAGAAGACAGTAATGCTGGCAAAAGCTGAAAGCAGCAGGAAAAGAGGAAGACGGGATAATGCGAGATAGACTGACACCCTCAATGAAGCCACTGGCTTGCGTTTTTCAAGAAATCAGCGGGGCTCTTGATAACAGGACAGTCTGGAGATTGCTCATCCAGAGATCCTGGATCTCAATAGAGAAGAAAAATGTATATCAGGAGTTGAGGTCTTCTTTTGGTGAATTTATACATTCTGTATTCATTCTGTTTCACAGAATCCTGGATCTGGGTTTTGAGAAGGCCGTCACGGCCATCTTGAACGCTGTAAACGCAGGCGGTGAGAAGCGTCAAAATGTTCTTTTATCAGCCACGCTTACGGAAGGTAAGCCCTGCGGTGTCGGTTCCCTTTTTTTAAATTGGGGTAGCCAACCAAAAGAAAGTGATAAATGGGACAGATCCCCGTAGGACCACAGTTTGGAGGTTTGGTTCCGAGCGCCTCCCGCCCCTCTGCGGATACTGAGAACCGCGGAAGAGCGGGACATGATGCACTGCATGGTCTCTGGCTCCGTCTAGTGTCTGTGTCTGGTAAATACACCCTGGAAATACTTATTCCTGGGAGGATTTATTTAGTATTTTTCTGGTAGCGGATAAGTGAATCAGCGGATATTGATCCCATAGGTACGGGAGTCTTCCTTTATCACCCGCCCTTCCGTTTGTTCAGTTTCCTTGAGATTTCAGTCGTTTTTCACCTCCCTGCGTTAGGAGTTTCGAGGTTAGCAGACATCAGCCTGCAGAATCCGGTCAGCATTTCCATGGCGGGGGAATCGCAAGGCTCGGACGGCGCCCACCTGCGAGTGACTGCTCGGGAGGGAGATGTCGGTCCCCCTACAGGTGTGGAAGGGGAGGGTTTTGCTGTGCCAGAAGAGCTACAACAGAACGTGGTGGTCGTCCCGAGCAAGCTGAGGTTGGTGACGCTGGCGGCTTTCGTCCTGGGGAAATTTAAGGTGAGATCCTGGCTCATGGTGCCTAGAGGGGGCAAGAAGGCGGGCCTTCTCGGTCCCCGTGTTCTCATTGGATAAAGAAGATGCTTGGTTCCATGGGTCGACCAACGATGTCTCCCGGGTGCAGCCCCACATGGAAGGCATTGCGGTAGTCTAGTCTTAAAGTGTCATCTTCTTCCTCGTCTTGGTTGCATCTTGACTGGGGTGAATTTGACCAGAGCTTGCGAAATTGTTTCCGAAAAGGAATTAGTTACTGCTTGGAGATTCTCTTATCATTTGCTTGTTACCGTTTGCAGTTACCTTAAAAATCAGCCTTTACTCCCTTGCTATTCTTAAGTAACTACATAAATTCATTTTGTGGTTCTTTTTAAAAAAGAACAGCAACAGAATACTGTTCTTCCGTGTAAAACATGTCTACCTAATAAAGTCGCAGCCCCTGTAATGATAAAAGTAATTAAACGCTGTTACACTTCACTGCTTAAGGGCCAATTCTGCTGGGACTGGTTCTATTTTGTATGACTTGTGTTTCGTTTTTTGTGATGTTGCGTCTTTGATTAAAACCGCCTCCTTGGCGATAATTTTGCTAGTCATGGCGGTGAAAATAATCAGACTCTGAACCGCTGATAATATTACCCACACGCTCTCAAGCCTGTCTTTACAAATCCATGGGGACTAGAAACTTCTAGTTTAAAATAAGAACCAAATAGTTGATTCCATGTAGTGGCATTTCTCCTTTGCTGCTAATGGTATCCCGGTGTGGAATCTTCTCTTTATCATCTCTTTTGGTGTATTTCAATCCCTGCAGTTCGAGAAACGCAACAAGATGGTGGTCTTTTTCTCCAGTTGCGAACAGGTGGACTTCCACCACGCGCTCTTCCGAAAAGTCTTGGATGGGGACCCCGAACCGGGAGGCCCAAAGCAGTCACAGCCTCTCTCTTCCCCGTTAGCCCTCCTGCGCCTGCATGGTGACATGAAGCAGGAGGTAAGTGCCCTTCACGGATCCGCTCAGGATCCTCCTTTCTCTGTGGGGTAAAATTTTCCGGGAAAAATACCTATTTTTTGCTGTTCTTGTTCTTTTAGGAGAGGACGTCCGTCTTCCAGGATTTCCTCCGATCGAAGGAGGGCGTCTTATTCTGCACAGTAAGTTGCCAAAGAAGAAGCGAAAGCCACTCAAGGCAACTGGACCCCAGTAGTGTCTTTTGACAACTGGTTGCAGGAGACTGGAATGAATTTGGAGTAAGGTGTCTGGAAAAATACGAGGAGGAGAAGCGAGGGTGGATTGCTTGCCCTGTGGCTTTCTAATTCCTGCGACTCCACGGGTGGGTGGCTAGTCCTCATGGTTAAGCGAGGAAATAAAAAACCTCAGGGTTGGAGGCCAAACCTGATCGCGTGGTTTGCTAGAAGAAGAATTTGCTGTTCGAGCAGCCTTCAAGGGCAAGATCAAAGCGGCTTGTCCCCTGCGGGTGTTGGATCGCTCTTAACATCCTGCCTTTTTTGGTTTCTGTCCACCTGGTGTATCTACTTACAGCTTCACTACCCCGTTTGCTCACTCCTCGCAGCAGCTGTTGGCCGGGGGGAAGCAGGGGCGGCCGGGTGACAGCCTCCCCCTGCCAACGTGTAAATTACAGCCATCAGGAGTCATTACAGCGGAAAAGGTCTGGCTGCCTCCGTCGTGTTCTGGAGGTTGTTCCTCCTAACGTTTCGCCAGTCTAAAGCGGGCGGCCGGGTGACAGCCTCCCCCCGCCAACGTGTAAATTACAGCCATCACGAGTCATTACAGAAAAGGTCTGGCTACCTCCGTCGTGTTCTGGAGGTGGTTCTTCCCAACGTTTCGCCAGTCTCTGTGGCCGGCGTCTTCAGAGGACAGGAGTAGCACTCTGTGCTCTGGTGCAGTTTGTTTGGGAGTTGAGTATTTAATAGCTGTGGGATCAGCTTTTGTCCTTTTCAGGAGATGGGCGATTATGGTGATCAGTGTGTTTTTTGTTGTGGGTGCATTGTTGTGATAAGGAGAAGGGATTATCTGTCACTCTTCTGAGGAAGAGTTGCAGAGAATTAGCACGTTTTGGGTTATTGTGGAATTATATGTAGTAGTAGTATCGCCAAGTCTTCAGATTTTGTTCTGTAGACGCTACTGCTTGGTGAATCAGAGACACCTTTCTGAGGACTTGTGCCGTCTAACTCATCGAAGGCACCTTTCATCGAAGGCTTTTCCGCCTGTCTGTTCATCTTGAGAGATTAAACTTCGTTAGCCCTCCTGGATTTTGATAAACGTCCATCAACGACCAACCCTTGAGTGAACCCACTGTGATAATAAGAAGCAACCTCTTTTCCTTTCTCTCTCGGTCCCCTCCTTCCACCTGGGTCGTGCCCTCTCCTTCATGACCTTGAATCACCACGACAATTCAAGTATTTTTTGAGGCAAACGTTTTCCTTTGCGTCGGCGCCTGGGTTGTTTTTGAACCCGGTTACGAACGGCTTCCTTCAGAGGATGAACTCGTCGGAACGCCACCACAGAGAGATCGAGGAGGACCACCAGAAATGTGCGTTTCGCTCACGCCTGAAGCTTCGAGACATAAAACGGGCCTTGTCGGTTCGGCCAGAGTGAAGTAGTCGGCCTACCTCGTCCAGCAAAGCTTAAACACGAGGGCGACCGCTTCATGACGTGATTTCGATTAATTGTGACGTTCTTCCAGCATGGGAAGAGTGGCGGTGGCAGAAAGAGCCTTACATTCTACGCCTCAGGAATCAAAATGTCTTCCGAAGAGAGACTTTAAGGTTTCCGTGATATCCCTCGTTCTCACAACCCTAAGTTCCCATCTTTCATAGCCAAAATGTCCTTTTCTGGTCTCCGCCCGTCTTCTACTGCAGTGGTTCCCAACCTTGAGTCCTCCAGATGGACTACAACTCCCAGAAGCCTTCACCAGCTTCTGTGCTGGCCGGGGCATCTGGGAGTGGTAGTCCGAGAACACCTGAAGACCCATGATTGGGAGCCATTTTCCCACCGTATAGACCCGTTTTTTTTCTGCCATGGAGAGACCCAACAAGAGGTTCAGAAGTCCCTCAGAAACCAGGGGATTCGGTTTTGTGGCAAATTTTTGAGTCTTAAAGGGCAATCTGAAAACGTAGAGTTCCTCCTTTTCTCCTCATGGGGAGAGGCCGTTTTTGAAAGCGATTTCGGCGAAAGAAGATGATTCCGGAGACGACGCTCTGCCGGTTGACTTCCATCACGCTAACTACTCTTGCCAGTTTTCTGCCGGGGGGTGGTGGTGGCCCAGTGCTCTCGTCCTCTGTCAGCTCTCCGCGCTCCCTTTCCTTTCCTCCTCGGATTACGGCGTCCAAGCTGTCGCCCGGCCGACGGGGGGGTTCTCTTCCCTGCCGATGGCTTTCCACGCTCGGCTATAATGATTCTTGGCAGCCGGTGGAAGGTGGAAGAAGCTGCTACCTCCGCTTGGCCGGCTCTGCCTCCTTCTTCCTCTCCGCCTGTTTCATTAAAACGCTTTGGTGTGCTTCTGTTTTGGTAAATAAATGAGTCATTTTAATCCAACTGACAGCGCTGGCGCCCGAATACTCTGCCTTCCATCTGTACCTCTAAGGCTTCACGTCGGCTGCCAGTTGTCAAGACCGGGGCACTTCAAGGCCTTACCACCGACTGCCTGTCACAAAAAAGTCTTCGCCGCGACTCCTTTGCCCTCAATTTGGGGCCTCGGTAGAGCTGAGGACGTGGGATTTTAGGCCTCCGTAAGACAAGTTGGGTCCCTTCGTTCCGTTATCAATCCGAAGGGAGACGGGAGCCAAGAAATCAGAAGAAGACTGAGATTCAGAAGAGCAGGGGGCGAAGGAATTAGAAAAGATCGTCAAGTGTCAGGATGTGTCCCTGGAGATCAAGGCCACAATCATGTCTTTCTGATCATCACGTATGGGTGAGAAAGTTGGACGGTAAAGAAAACTGGCAGGAAATGAATTATTTCTTTGGAATGTGGTGCCGGAGGAGAGCTTGGCGGTGACCCCGGACTGCTGGAAAGATAGACCCGTGGGGAGTCCTAGATCAAATTAAGCCTAAACTATCTATGGAGGCAAAAAATTGCTGGAATCGAGGCCGCCCTACAGGAAGCCACAGGATTAAGTCCTCGGTCGGGAGCTGAATAAAAAGACGGCAGAAGATGTGCCCTAAAAGTTAACGGAACCTCCTTTTAGACACAGACGGGAGCAAACGCATGGCAACCTTGGGGCCTCTGACTGGCTGCTGGTATGGACCTTTTGGGTCGGCGAAG